AAAATTACCCTTATACTGATTCAACTTATTAGAAACTAGTAGATAGTTCTAATTCTATTCTAAGTAAACCAAATAACTTACTAGAAACTAGTAGATAGTACTAATTGTAAAGTCAATACTTACACTACTTCTCTACAACTTATGACCTATGTGTTGGAAATGAAATAAACTATTAGACTACTATTGATATTCCCGTTTATTTATAATTATAAATTCCAAGAAAATAGAAAGATAACTGCCACCGAGACTTTACAAAATACCGAAATATGTTACTTTGAAAGTAAGACGAAATTAGTGAAGTGGAAATTCTTTTCGGCCACGTCCCTACGGCATATTGATCCCTCCCCTTCCTTTACACAACCGCCGACCCCCCCCCCCCCCCTTCCAACAAAAAAAAAAAACCTTAACACCCCCCCCCCCCCCCCCCCCCACTTACTAAAAAAAAAAAAAAGACTGTCCCGCAGCAAGCGTCATGCTTTATGATTGAACCCATGTAAAATAGAAAATTGAATTTTTTTTCTTTAGAAAGGATTTTTTTTTTTTAATGTCAGTGCTTTTGGAAGGTATTGCTATTTTATTGTACTGCAAATGTCGTTTCTTTGTTATAAAATGAACGACAATATATTTTCTGTCGACAGGTTTGTGTCCAATGTCATCTCTGTTCCGGGATCCGTCAACTGCTTGTACCTATCGGTGACACTGGGTTATTTCTTGACACAAAACGTTGACAAAGGCGTAACACTACCCAGCAGATATTTCCTCAAAATATCCGGCCCTGTCGTAACATAACTATTGTCCATGGGCGCCCGCAGAGGGAGGTAAGGGGGGCACTCCCCCCCCCCCCCCGGATTGATTGGATACATTTTTTTATACAAAAATAGACAAAAAATGTATTAAAGTAAAGAGAAAATAAAGAGAAAGTAACTAAGCTGATATCCTGTCCGTTCGTTCACCATACAAATACGCTACAGTAAATTAAAACTACATTAAAACATTACTAAATTTTTTGCCCCCCCCCCTTGAAATTAATCGATTTCCCACCCCCCCCCTAGAAAGTTTTCTGCGGGCGCCCATGCTATTGTCCTGGTTTTTTTTCTCTCGTTTTTTCGGGTTGGGGGGGGGGGGGGCTGGATGAAAACACAGGAAGAACACAGGTGCACTAGGGGAGAAGATATATTCTCTCTTATATAGGCCTATACAGGCTTCTGGTGTGTCCTGCTTCCTCCCTTTAATTAATTCAAGAATAAATTGATTAATATTGATACATTAATACTCTGAATTCAACCCGAAGATCGAGTCCCGTAGGCCGCATGACACTGACACAATGAAAATTCCGTCCCCTGCAGTCATCCAGGTGCGTGGAGAGAGGTGACATGCTGTTTATGGAACGCGGCTTATCTTCCTAAAAGAAAAATCCCAGGCCTTGCGATTTCGTCCTGCGAAGTCTACACAGTGGTCCTATTGTCACGTTGTGACGGAAGGATGCCAGGAAAAAAAAGATCCGATCAATAAATTATTTTTTTCACATCAAATTTTATGTAATGTCATCTTAAAAGAGGTTTTCTGATATAACCAACCGACGTCCCTCAGGTGGTCCCAGCGTCCTCCCTAAAGCTACCCAGCGCCCCCCCCCCCCAACAACCAATGTAGAATTCGGCCCAAATATTAAAATTAAAAAAAAAATTGTTTCAAATGTTTATATTAAAAAATTATAAGTAGTATAGACTTATATAAAAGAGGTTTTCTGATATAACCAACCGACGTCCCCCAGGTGGTCCCAGCGTCCCCCCTAAAGCTACCCAGCGCCCCCCCCCCCCAACAACCAATGTAGAATTCGGCCCAAATATTAAAATTAAAAAAAAAATTGTTTCAAATGTTTATATTAAAAAATTATAAGTAGTATAGACTTATAATTTGATTAAAAAATAAATGTATTATGATCAATTTTAACATTTCAAATGTCCTCATATTAAAATAATATCCAGGATTTTCTGTTGTATTAAACACCTATAAAAAGCGTTATCAAAACGAGTATGATAAAATCTCTCACTGTGTTTCTTAACTAATCTACATGTCCACATAATCGTTGTCGTCATATTATGGCTCAGAGACCTGGGTGGTAGACAAAAGCTTCATTTGAATTTTAGAGCGTTTTTCACCAGAAATCCTATTTTAAAATGCATCATGGGAGTGAAATGGCAAGGTTAGGTCTGCATTCAATTAAATGACAAGTTTATTGAAGTCCATTCAGTCTCAGGAGAACACCGAAACAATGCTTTAAAGGAAATGAGACAGCTACGTTGTGAATCGACAATTGGAGACTTTTATATAATATGTCAAAAGCTGACTCCTAAAGTGATTTGTGCAAATGAAACAGCAATACAGGAACTCACAGAAAGAGCTGTAGACCTATAACCCAGCCAAAAGCGTCAGCTGCTTAAAACAATAACACGGACACTTCATGGCGAAATGAAGTAATTGCACAAAAAGCTAAATTATGTATTTTCAATGTCTTGAGCTGCATACTGAGAGACCATCAATAACTGAATCAATTAAACAGACTAAACCAACTTTTGTTTTGAAATTGACATCCTCATCTGCATTCAAAGTAATCTAATTGTTGAATCAGGTGTACCATCTTTGTTTAAAACATCTCTCCTTTTATTTTATCCACGGCATATTTTGATATCTACAGGCGGCAAACACCAAAATAATGAATCATTCCAACCCCTGCGACGCCCCGGAGGCCATCATTGAGTGCGCAGTGAGCATGCTAAAATAGCATGGATACTTAGCGCTATATAAGTATTCAATCAATCAATTAAAATATTTATATTTACTGGCTTTCATAAAGATATTAATAGAAGACATGGAACAAAATAGATCTGATCTTATTTATCTGTGACGACGTGAGTGAGTTGTATCGTCAATTTTTTTTCTTTAGTTTTACAACAGCATTTTTTTTCTTCAAATATTTCTTCAAGTGAAAGATGCTTTGTTTCTGGGATATCAGTAGCTTTCTTGATTATTATTTATTTATTTAATAGGTGTTTGATGTCAGACGATGAATTCCCACACCAGCAGGTAATACTGAAGTTCAGTAAGCTGCCAGTAACTGGAAGGGCCGAGTAGAAAAAGTACTTGAGTTACAATTTTTTAAAAATGAGTAAAGACAAGCATTATATTTGCTTACTTCCATTGAATCACTCATGAAAATATCATTCATGAAAAATGTACAAATGTGTTTCATTCAGTGTTACTTCGAGCAGCTTTTAATGTATTTAAATAAGAATTTAAAAACTTTAAACTCATTTTTCTCAAAACTGCAAAAAATACTCATTAGTACTTTTTCTACTCGGCCCCAACACTGTGTTGCTGCACTGTAGAGTAAGTTAATAACATGTTTCTTTTCGCCGAAATTGTACAATTTATTAAGATAGAAAAAGTCTTTCGTTGAATTTTGTTGGACAAACTTTAAAATAAAAAAGAAGAAATGATGCAAATCAATGGATATGATACAAGCCAGCAGGGTAGGCAAAGGTTGGGAGGGGGGGGGGGGGGACGGAGTGGCATATTTAGGGTGAGTGTTGCCCGGGGAAGCCCCTAGAAGTTTGTCCCCTCCCCCCCCACCTTCCACGAAATAAATATGTAGTTAGCCGAAAATCCCCCCCCCCTCCCCCACATAAAGAAAAAGTGCCGCAGTGGGTGGACCACACGTCCTTCCTATGCCACTGGGGTTGCCAAGATCAGGAGAACGCTAAAATGAACTTTAGATAGGACGCTTATAGTGAATTAAAAGATAAAATTCCACATACTTCAAAAAGACAAGGGGTGCCTAAATAATATTTCCACGGGTCCACCTAGGCGTTGAGCGCCATTTTCAGGATTCGCACCGAGTGCCTCTTTTCTACAGCAGAGCCACGCAAGAAAGCATAATATTTCGGACTTTGACGTCACTAGTTCGTTATGCTTGTCAACTTACAGTTTTCAACAGTGATAGGCTGCACTTGCTATGGCGCAGGTATGGTATAATTTTAGACAGAAATGTGGTGCATATGGCTGTCGATGTGCTGCGCTCTTTTGTGTGTGTCTGTAGTAGCATAATATTTAATTCTCTCTCATAGAGGCCCCTGATGGAAATGTCGTATGGTGGGAAAATGTTTCTTTCATTCAGTGAACTTGCTCTCGAAAAAATCCAGTTTTCCTAACCCCTCTCCCCAAATTCATTCTTCTAAAACCCCTTTACCCACACAGAGCAACCCACGCGTACAAATAACTGAGCTGGAATTACTGCATTTCCAACACAGGTTCTAAGTTCGTTATGTAATTGTTTTTGCTAGAACTATATCAAAAAGGTTAAAATATCCTTAAATAAAAAAAATGAAGGTATCTAGTGAACACATCTTTTTTCTTAGTTACAACCGGAACAGTTCTGTTGGACTTCATGAGACTTTGACATTCATGTTACTATTTGCAGAGACAAATAGTTGTTATCGCCCAAAAGAGCCCCTTCAAACGACAGAAGAGAAAAATCTCAAACGAAAGATAGGACCAGCTTCTTATTTTTAGCCCAAACAAAGGCACGAGGGTGAGGAGAAGAAACCAAATTAGCAGCACTAATGCGATGGTTTAGATCTATTTTTTTATTGTAGCGGGATTTGATGCCATTAGGGGGGTGGTCAAGAAGGCGGGTTTCGAATTTCCTTGTGACATTTTCTTTCGATTTTCGCTTCCGCGTTTGAAACAAGGTTTTGGTTTCTATAACGGGGACCGGCGAGTAACACAGAATGTGTTTGTCTTGTTTTTTTAAAAATATTTATCTATAACATATATATATATACCTTTTTAAAATACGTACCCCAAGGATCCCCCAAAAAGTAGTTCCATACCGTCTCCTTCCTACGCCACAGCCCTGAGCTCAAGTTGAAGGCACCTTCACAGTATCTCATCACAGCCGTATATAAAGTGCTCCTACAACCAAAGAACTGGCAGAGCGCTAGAAAAAGAGACAGCGACTGGGCAGTTGAGGACTTGCCAAAAATAAACCGTCGAAGGGCGTTTCAGAACTAGTTCGTAATCGGAAAGCATAGAAACATGTTTTTAGAATTCGCGGCAGTTTTTGTACTCACCTCGACCCTTGCTTTGTTATGGTAAATTGCATTACAGCCTGCTTCTTAAAAGCCTTAAAATCACCATACTCAGAATGCCGTCATCAGATGTTATGTCAAGTGTTCGTTATATTCAAAGATGAAACATGCTTCGTACAAGATTATTTTATATGTGACTTTCATGAGTTTTTCAAGATTATATGTGACTTGCATACGTTTTTCAAGATCATATGTGACTTACATACGTTTTTCAAGATTATATGTGACTTGCATAATTATTTCCATGTAATTGGAGTTATTTCAGATTTTATAGTGAGACTCTCACCAGTTTGTTTTGTCTTACGACATACTGAATGTTACTTTGAGCAGCATCGAACTTAGGGCCTAGTATCCCATAGGGCCAGACTGTGCCAGGGCCTAGGCCGCAGCAGGAGGGTGGCGTGTATACAGAGGAAATAACAACCAAAGATTTACAAATTGTTCAGTTTTATTTTGAAAAAGGACACACAAAAGGCGTTAGTAGTGTAGATTTGAATTAAAAACACAACGTGGTTCAAAGATTTTATAGATTGTATTAGGTGATTATGTTTAAAAAAACAAACAAACTATTATATAGTGTTTAGGACATTATAAATACAATTTTCTTGAGGGGTGGGTGTGGACTGGACGTTGAGGTATGTGCTTTGGTCTATGGCGTAGAAAATGTTCAAAGATGACCCCCGTGGGCATTATAGATTAAAAAAGAATCGATTATAACGTGTACATCGGCGTAATAGGGTCATGGTCAGGATCCCTGATGACTGTTACATTTACAAATAGATTACTAATTAAAATTTGATAAAGTCGGGTTGGGAGCAAAACACCTTGAGTCCCTTTTACCGTGATTATTAAAGTGATCTCTAGGCTGTCAGTCATGATTAACTAACAAATATTTTTTGTTTATAACATAGAGCCGAATCTCTTCACAATAAGTTTGAAGGCCATCCATACATGACGTCACGCTATTTTGGCAGATTTTTTTACACCCCCCCATCTCCCCAAGTCGTCCCAAATTAGACACTCACTCAATACAGAGTGACGAATTCATGATCTCCGTCATCGTTCCCTCAATTTTCCCCCTTTCGATTTTATAAACATGCATGATACTTTATTTATTTGATGACTAAGGACCTACACTGACTGACTCAACCCTAGTCTCCTACAGATTTCAGGCACCTCTGTAACAATCTAAATTCTTGTCTCTTACAAATGCAGGCACCTCCATTACCACTTCAGCCAATTCAAAAGGCTGGGTATCCAAGGCCCAAGACCAAGTCTCTTCTTTGGTAACCTAATGGAAATACGCTCCAAGGTAACCAGTATTTTTCACTTGTCTTTTTTCCCATGTTGCCTAGTAACCAAGCAATCGCTTGGCAGTAGAAAATAAGCCATACATTGTCAGTAGTATTTTTAGACATTTAAAACATGACCGTGTGTTTCTTACACTCACAGCTTTTATTCTGATTTTAACCACTTTCGTTTTTCATTTATGAACAATTTATCGTCTGATTTCTCTAATAGCCCGTAACTTGTTATTGCTATTAAATCCCATCTCTATAATTAGAGAGTTCCCTGAGAGTTTATACTGTTTAATTGAAATAAATACTTTCATGATCAACTAATTGTCTTTACTCTTCATAACTCCACCCTGCCACATCCTGAAGAGGGTGAAAGACTAGGAAGGGGAGATATGAATATGAAATAAAGTATACACAATTAACATTTTGATATGGTGAACGCTATGCTTTTCCCAAAATAAAATATCCCCAAGGATGTTTTCCCATTTCTTACGGTGTCATGTTACATGTATTTGCGTTCCAGGGCCAGTTTCAAGCATTGAAAGACTGGACCAAGTTATACGGCGACGTGTTTGGCTACTTTGAAGGCTACACCCCTGTCATGGCCGTCAGTGACCCGGACATCTTGAGAAACGTGCTACTGAAAGATGCTTCGAATTTCATGAAGAGAAAAGTTAGAATCCGTCTGTTTTCTGTCTATTCAAGCAATGAATGTTATCGACGATCTGCTGTACGCTGTTCATATTTGTTATAGAAACCCTAAAACTCTCTTCGCTTTTTCAGCTGCTTTTGTCTCCATATGTCTACCAATAATTGAAGACCTACTATGTGCTAGGTGTCAGGAAAACGCTGGTTCTTAATTGTCTTCAAGGAGAAAGCATTATTCCAATAATTTTGACTCCAAATGTGCTAGACGCCAGGGAAACCTGGTTCTTAAAAAAAAAAAAGTGGTTACGGTAATGCTTGGGGGGGGGGGGAAGGGGGGGGAAGGGTCCATGTCGAATTCAATATATTTTAAAACATACATTAGTCCTTAGAATATAGAAGAGACCAAACGTTTAAAATGGTTTTATGGTGTTGATTGATTCGTATATAAAAAAAATTAAATGATGTTTGGAAATATGAAAAATTAATTAATTAATTTATACATAGATTAAAAAAAATATTGAACGCTCATTAAAGAATTAATAATAGTTGTCTATAGCAAAAATGTTTACAGCCTTTCCCATTAGCACCTCGAAAAAGTCTGGGTCTGTTTTTGGAAGACGGCCAACAATGGAAACGGAGCAGAGCGCTCCTCACACCTGCCTTCAGCACTGGCAAACTTAAGAAGGTAACTCATTCGCACACTGGTAAACTTAAGAAGGTAACTCATTCGTACCCTTTGGAAGGTAGCCCAATGATTCACTGGCAAAATTACGAAGGTAACTCGCTCATACCCTGTCAAACTCAAAAGGTAACTCATTCATACCCTCGAAAATTCAAAAAGCTAACTCATTCATACCCTGGGAAAACTCAAGAAGGTTAACGCACTGGTCCAATTGCAAACTGGAAAATATAAATCATTCATTCACTGGAAAACTGATAACTGAAAGCAATGTTTTTTTAACGTTATAATATTACTAAAAGAAGACAGTTAAAGCTTTATTACAATATATTTATAGAAATTTCATTGGTTGCGAGAAGACAATTTTAATTAAAAATCAAAAGTATTTTTTTTAATAGCAAAAATAAAACAACACAAATAAAGTCAACGACACAAATAAAGTCAACGACACAAATAAAGTCAACGACACAAATAAAGTCAACGACACAAATAAAGTCAACGCCATAAATAAACTCAACATTACAAGAGAAGCAAATTTGAACCTTTTCCTACACAGTAGAGTAACAATGGAAGCAGGCGACAAAATGACATACACAATAAATTTAGTGCAATAAATCCACTTTGATCACCAGATGACACCAATCATGTCTGAAGCTGCTGATATACTTGTGGAGCGTTTAGTGGATAGAGCCAAAGAACAGAAAAGCATGGATATATACAGGTAGAGTTACGAACAGCTAGTATATAATTTATTCGCAATAAAACATAAAATAAACCTTTATAAAAATCATAAAACGGAAACAACTATTTTTAAAATGAAGCATAATAACGGTGATAGTGTTGCTGCTTCTACTTAATGTTATAGAGTCCATTTCTTATCATTCTCTTATTTGGAAGCTCTCGTCATTAATAACAACATATTCTTAGCGTCTTTCAGTCCCTGACACTGGATGTCATCGGGCGATGTGCCTTTGGCCTGAAGACCAAAGCCCAGGTGGACGAGAAGGACGTGTTCCTCGTCAAGATAAGAAGTCTGTTCCACACCATGAGTACCACAGTCATAGAACCCATTGTCAGTAAGTATGAACTATCCACTATGATCACCACCGTTATAGAACCCGTTGCTAGAATGTATGAACTACACACACTGATCACCACAGTTATAGAACCCATTGCTAGTATGCATGAATTGCACACACTACGATCACCACAGATATAGAACCCATTGCTAGTATGCATGAATTGCACACACTACGATCACCACAGTTATAGAACTCATTGCTAGTATGCATGAATTGCACACACTACGATCACCACAGATATAGAACCCATTGCTAGTATGCATGAATTGCACACACTACGATCACCACAGTTATAGAACCCATTGCTAGTATGCATGAATTGCACACACTACGATCACCACAGTTATAGAACTCATTGCTAGTATGCATGAATTGCACACACTACGATCACCACAGATATAGAACCCATTGCTAGTATGCATGAATTGCACACACTATGATCACCACCGTTATAGAACTCATTGCTAGTATGCATGAATTGCACACACTACGATCACCACAGTTATAGAACCCATTGCTAGTATGCATGAATTGCACACACTACGATCACCACAGTTATAGAACCCATTGCTAGTATGCATGAATTGCACACACTACGATCACCACAGATATAGAACCCATTGCTAGTATGTATGAATTACACACACTATGATCACCACCGTTATAGAACTCATTGTTAGTCAGTATGAACTATCCAAACTATGATCGCCATAGTTATAGAACCCATTGTCAGCAGGTATGACCTATCTACACTATGATCACCAAAATTATATAACCCATTGTCAGTATGGATTCCCTATCCAAATAATGAGTTTAAAGGTCGATGTCCATTGACATCATTAATTAATTCTCAGTTAATCTGTCAGCATCAAAGAAACCAAACCACTACTAAATAAAATTAAAGTCATCACACTCATTTCGGTTTGCAGCAATTCTGAGAAACACTACTAACGACATCACAAGCAGTTTGCCTCTTGCATATGAAGAGTTTGTTTCAGTTCTTTGAGCTGGTTACGTTTTTCATCAGAACAGAACCATGCTAAGTACATGTACATGTTTCGTGCAGGATATGCAGCTCCAAAGTTGATCTGTTAAAAAAATAAACAATAAAAAATGTGGAGAGAAAAAACAACGGACTAATTTTTATCGTGCTAAACTTTCGCTGGCATCTGTCAAAGGTTGCATGTGTGGAAAAGGGATTTAGAAAATACTCCGCATTGTTTTCGAACCAAATATAGTTTGGAATATCTGATGCGATAAGGTTATCCAGACACGAGACTTTCCATTTTACACGACTGCAGACATCCCCAATCAAGGCACACTTGAAGATCTTGACCGCCCAAAATAAAAGAAGTTCAAGTGTCTAAAGGTGTTCACCTGCAGGCGACAGGTAGCTCTACAAAATTTTATTTTTACAACGGAATTCTTTATTTGGAAGCGCTATAATTAAATTTCGAGAACAACAGGAACATGAAAGAACAATGGCGCCACCAAGCGGTTGGTTGGTCAACACTAAGACATTTAACTCGCTCTTTAACTTGTTTAAATTGTTGAACTTGTTTCTTAACTTGTTTAAATTGTTGAACTTGTTTCTTTACTTGCTTAAATCTTTGAAATTTTTCTTTATTGTGTTGAACTTATTTCGTAAATTATTTAAAAAGTTTGAACTTGTTACTTAAATTGTTGAACTTGTTCCATAGCTTGTTTAAATTGTTGAGCTTGTTCCATAACTTGTTTAAGTTGTTTTTATTCAACCCACGATCTTGAGATAACAAATATATTTCTGTTCTCTAAAGTGGCCGTTCCATGTTTGTCCTACTTCATCTTTGCACTCAAGAACATGGTGTTTTTATTTGGGATGAATCCTGTTGTGTGGCTGAGAAACTCCATGCGAGACGTCATCAGGGTCAGAAAGTCTCTAGGGGTAAGGAGGTCTTTGCAATATTTTGTCATTATTAGAGGAATTAAAAAAGTAAACTACACAATCTTTAATATTCTCCATGATATCTTTGTATCAGATGAACTAACGCGATAGAGAGTTAACTGATTTGAATACTCCTCAATACGGCAGATAGTGAACTAAATATTGTACCATTTGTTACACCAAGTATATTACTCCCACTCAGGGCCGTGCAGGCGATTTTTGGGCCCCGGGGAAATCTAAATTTTGGGCCCCCACAAATTTAAAAATAATTATAAAAACGTATTGATATCCGCCCTGGGAGCCCCCCCCCCCCCCCCCCCCAAGTGGACAGTGTTCAGAGTGATATACTCAGATGCATCGGCCTCTGCACGGCCTGCTCGGACTTGGAACTAAACGTCCTTGTAACTGTAATATTTTTTGTCAGATCGATTTTCATCTCAATAATTCTGGTTACAGCTGAAGAAGCAACCCCCCCCCCTTTCTCTATGTAAAAACAATCACAATTCTAGACTAAACTCAATTAAAGCATTATGGTTCAGCCAGGTGCTAATTAATTTTAACATTTTGTTTTAGCCAAATAAAATTCAGATTCCGTGGATGATAAAAATTGGCTAGATCAAAATCATTTTTTCCCCTTCTAAATATGTCTTCCCTAGCCGAATGCCAACATCATTGACCTGGTCCAGCTGATGCTGTTCCCAGAAAAGCATCAGCACGACGCCTGCACGGACCCCCATGTTGGCTTGACGGAGCGCGAGATTGTGGCCCAGAGCATGACGTTTCTGCTGGCGGGCTACGAGACGACCAGCGCTGTGCTGGCCTACTTCTGTCACGAGATGGCCAAAAATCCCGACATCCAGGAGAGACTTTACCGGGAGATTCGAGATCACATTGAGAAGGTATAGAACATTTACCAGACAGGTAAAATAAAATGTTTGACGTTGCCGTCTTCCAAATAGGATAATTGATACCTAGGCGATGATACAACATGGAACCGAATCTTCTCAACAATTTAAGTTTATTGGTAGTGTTTACTGTAGTTCATTCAGATTTCTCGACAATATCAAGTTTTAAAAGATAACACATCAATATTTTTTTAAATGCTTTTCCAAAATATCATATTTAGGGATAGACTGTCGCTTGGCGTGTTAGGATCGTATGGCAATTTAATTTATTTCATAAAAATTTTGAAAGGTTTTCATGTGGACCAAGACGTTGTGTAAAAACTAATTTCTCTAATCATAATGTTTGAAAAACAAGAAAATACTTGTAGAATTTCAGTTGAAACGCTGAAGACATAAAATAACTTGGATCTTATAATATTAAGTCTTTATTTGGGGTATGGTAGTTTTTTTTCAGTGTTCAAATAATCCTGCTTTGTAAATAACGTTTGTTTGTATTGTCTATCCGTGTCAGGACGTCAATTATGAATCTATTCAAGATCTCCATTTCTTTGATGCCGTGTTTGATGAAGTGTGTCGGATGTACCCAACGGCCTCATTGTAAGTCATTACCTAAATAACGGTCTCATTGTAAGTCATTACCCAAATAACGACCTCATTGCAAGTCATTACCTGAATAACGGCCTCATTGTAAGTCATTACCCAAATAACTGCCTCATTGCAAGTCATTACCTAAATAACAGCCTCATTGTAAGTCATTACCCAAATAACTGCCTCATTGCAAGTCATTACCTAAATAAGGGCACACTTAAGGTAATAAATTGCGTCAATTTTGGTAATAACCGAAATAACGGTATATCTGTAAAACATTATCTAACCAATGGCAAGCAAATCACTTTTTGTTCCCCATCATTGTCTGCACCCACCATTGTTTTGTTCCAAAGCATTGCCTGCATCTACCATTGTTTTGTTACCCATCATTGTCTGCATCCACCATTGTTTTGTTCCCCAGCATTGCCTGCATCTACCTTTGTTTTGTTACCCATCATTGTCTGCATCTACCATTGTTTTGTTCCCCAGCATTGTCTGCATCCACCATTGTTTTGTTCCCCAGCATTGCCTGCATCTACCATTGTTTTGTTCCCCAGCATTGTCTGCACCCACCACTGTTTTGTTCCCCAGCATTGCCTGCATCCACCATTGTTTTGTTCCCCAGCATTGTCTGCATCTACCATTGTTTTGTTCCCCATCATTGTCTGCATCCACCATTGTTTTGTTCCCCAGCATTGTCTGCACCCACCACTGTTTTGTTCCCCAGTATTGCCTGCATCCACCACTGTTTTGTTCCCCAGCATTGTCTGCACCCACCACTGTTTTGTTCCCCAGCATTGTCTGCACCCACCATTGTTTTGTTCCCCATCATTGTCTGCATCCGTCATTGTTTTGTTCCCCATCATTGTCTGCATCCACCACTGCCTATTTCCCCAGCATTGTCTCCATCCACCTTTGTTTATTTCCCCAGCATTGTCACACGACAAGCTGCAGAAGAGCGTCAGTACGGTCACGTGACCATACCAGCCGGGATGAACATACTGGCGAACGTGTGGGCACTTCACAGGGACGAGAGATACTGGACTGACCCAGAAACTTTCAATCCTGATAGGTGGGTTGACGTCATACTAAAAACAATTTAACTGATGGCGGGGGACCAAAAAAAAAAAGGAAATGGGTGAGGGGGGGGGGGGGGGGGGGGGGGGGCTGCAGTGCCGTAGTGTAGCCAGTGGGTGAGCAGAGGTAACCACCGCTCCCATGCGACCATTATTGAAGAAAAAAATTGGGTCTTCTCAAGGATATTACTTTTAATCCCGGTTTGTAGAGAGCTTATTGTTTTCAAAACCTTTGTTTAATTAAAAAAAAAAAAGATTAACATCTGTGTAATTTCTGGCGATAAATGAGTGAACACGACATAAGATGACGTTAAGCAACATTGACGAAACCAACAATGCTACTCCACTGACTGTCTTGTCCGCTCCTTGATGGTAACACAGGTCTAATGGGAATGGCATAGCTAATAAAGAAAACCGCTTTTGGAATGAGTTTGTATTGTGTAAAGATAAGCCACCTGGTTCACCATTCCAATGTGTGACCTCGCATCTCTTATGCTTCTCTTCTATTAACTGTAGAATTATGAAAAAATACATTCCGGTTACCGTCAAAATGCATCACTGGATTTTCAATTTTCTAGGGATGGGGCTGTGCCATAAAAGCACCAAAAACAAAAATGATTATTTTTTTCCCCGAAAGATAACGTATATAATATCAGTATTTTCAAAAGGCTAGTGAATATCTTTGGTTAGAAATCGGTCCAAAATTTCGGGACCTGTATGCAAGTCAAGTTAAACAAAGAATAATTATATCATGTTACAATACTGGAAAAACCTAACTTTTAAGGCTGACGTGGATTTATCAAAATCATTAAATAATGGAGAACTAAGTGATGGCAGTTCAGTGTTGTAAGTGTTAAACTGCTGAAATTATGTTTGCTTTTTGGCGCACAAACAAACAGAGGACTTTTGATTCTTTAAACCGGATTTTAAAAAAATAAAAAATTATGCGCTGCTGTTTTCTGTGGATTTTAAATATTTCACTCAAATTTTACGTTTCATTTTTGTTATCAACAAGCAGGAGTAAAGAGCAAGCTTCATAATCGTAACTCATGTTTTTACCGATTAGTAATGTAAAGAAATATTTTCTTAATTGCAAAAGTAAATTAAAAAAAACCTATGTTTCATGTAACGATGGTGATGGGACAAAAAACCACTGAATTTGCAGCCCCCCCCCCCTTTTTTTCAAAGGGGCTGCCCGGGGCGGGAGCACACTTCGCCGTCTTAGGTTAGCCAGGTGGGTGGGGAGGGGGGTCACACTCAAGTAAAGTAATATTTTTTTAATTGCAAAAGTAAATTAAAAAAAACCTATGTTTCATGTAACGATGGTGATGGGACAAAAACCCACTGAATTTGCGGCCCCCCCCCCCCTTTTTTTCAAAGGGGCTGCCCGGGGCGGGAGCACACTTCGCCGTCTTAGGTTAGCCAGGTGGGTGGGGAGGGGGGTCACACTCACAACATTTAGGTTGAGTCTTGCTTGCCACATGCGTGTATCTTAATTTAACTTACGATAGTAACACTCGTCGGAATGATCTCTCTCGATCGGCCATTAATCTTCGTAGTGAGAACGGTTTGGATTTTGTGCAGTTATTTCCCCTTGTGCTGATACTTGCCAGGGTTGTGATTCCAACATTGTGCACTCAGGCTCCTCGCGTCATTCACGACCATCGAACACATTCATCAACAAACGTATTCACTGATTCAGTGCGTGCCTAGTGTTTTTGACATGACGGGTCACGCCCTCTCTATGTAGTTTTGTACAAACTTAAAAAAGAAAACACCAGCAAACAGGTAGTGTGTGCTCAATTGCATTTCACATGTTTAAGGAGTAGTTTTAGGATAGAAAGATAGTGAATCCAACCACACTCCTTACACAGAATATTTGTAAAATATTTAAATTATGATTGACGATTGGTCAATAAAGATGGACAATGATTTCAATTCATTAAATAAATACCAAATATAGCAAATAATAGACACCAAGATGTCAATTCAAACAATAAACACCAAGATTTCAAATCAGACAATAAACACCAAGATATCGCAACAAATAATTAACACCAAGATTTCAATTAAAATAATGAACACCAAGATTTCAAATAATAAACACCAAGATTTCAAATCAATAATGAACACCAAGATTTAAATTGAAACATTAAACATCAAAAATTTAAATCAAACAGTAAACACCAAGATTTCAAATCAAATAATTAACACCAAGACTTCCATTCAAACAATAAAAACACCAAGATTTCAAATCTAAAAATGAACACCAAGATTCCAATATAAACAGTAAACACCAAGATTTCAATTCAAATAATAAACACCAAACAGCATTAACATCGTGACGCAATCTCCGGCCGCTGGGATCTTTCCTGACGATGAGTCACAGTCAGTGATTTAATCTGAACATGATTTGAAATCTCGCATCGTCAACAACCTACATGGGCTGAAAAGGTTATTTCCCTTTAGTATAGTTGTTGCCGAATTGACGCTCACAGTTTTAGAAGCGCTGTGTTAACTAAGCGTAAACCATCGGCGTGAAGCAGGGGCGTAGCTAGAGTTAGTGCCGTCCGGGGGCGGGAAAAGTATTTTACCGCCCCCCCATTCCACGAATAAAACACTGCAGTTGGCCGAAAATGCCGCCACTCAACACAAGGGAAAAGGCGACTCCCGGGGGGGGGTGTGGATCATTACCTCCGCACCCTTTCTTACACACCACTGGTGTGAAGGTGTCCACACATTCCAGAGATGCTCCACGTCCGGAAGAAAAGTAAACAATAAAATCACCAAGCGTTACAGCAGTAAGATGAAAAAAACTCTCGCTAGCAAGCTCCCCCCCCCCCAAAAAAACTCTCGCTAGCAAGGCCCACCCCCCCCCCAAAAAAAAAATGTTCAAAAGAAGGAAAAATACGCACATTTTGTTTTCTTAAAGGCGGAAGATTTAATCGCGTCATCGATTTTTGTTACGCCCAAGTAACGTCGCCAAATTTGTTACTGACTCTTTGCTAGTGAGTGATTCTGTTACGTCATTGTTTAGCCTATCTTTAACTTTAAATACAAAAAAAATTAAATTAGGGGGCAAGCAAGCAGGGATCATCAGTTCCTCGAATTTAAAATAGCAATCATTTGTGTAACGTCTTCGTTGCAGTGATCCAAGTGTCAATAAGTTTTAAATAATTAAAGGTGGTCCAGCGGTCTAACTAAACTGACTCAACCCAAATAGCTGGTGTTCATTCCCCACCAAAGCCATTACAAGCAAAAACGTCTCAAGCACCCCGGATGGATTACTCTCGTTAACGATGGACGGCAACTCATCTCAGAGAAGGCGAACTCTGAATTCAAACCAGGAGCCAGAATGATCAATAAATTGATCGTGTGTCCTCAAAATATAGTTTTAAGTAATTTGTTTAAAAAAAAAAAATTCTGGGTACATCTATTTCAAGAAAAGTATTCAGCGAATTCGTTTGATGTTAGAAGATTGTAATTAAATTTCTACACCCAAGCATGTACAAAGTCTGTGTACCATTTACACAACACTCCTAAAACATAATCCATTCTTGTTGGTACATTTCTTTTTACAAATTCTTCATCTTACATGTACGGGTGGGGGTGGACACGGTCATATAAACAACAGGATTGTCATTTTATAATCACCATGCATTTTACACAAGAAATTATTTATCACGCCAGCCCAACCATCTAAACACCTAACCATTTAACCACCTATCTAACCACCTAACCATCTAACCACCTGACCATCTAATTACCTAGCCATCTAACCATCTAACCATCTAATGACCTAACCATCTAACAACCTAACCACCTAACCATCTAACATCTAACCATCTAACCATCTAACAACACTGTCACATGAAACAGGCGTCATTGCCTCAAATGCCTATAAGGCAGATTACTACAGGATCCCCCCCCCCCCCCCCCCACAAACAAAAAAAATAAAAATAAAAAAAAATAAAAATAAAATAAATAAATAAATAAATGAAATACACTGAACTTGCTCTAACTTACGCATTCTTAACCACTGCCTTGCACAGGTTCATGGACGAACCCCACTGCAAGAAATCGACGTTCACTTACATCCCGTTCGGAGCCGGCCCCAGACACTGCATTGGAATGCGCTTTGCTACGATCGAGGCGAAAATCACCATTGTCAAGGTCATTCAAAACTTCCTCATTGAAAAGGCAGCAGATACTCGGGTAAGGTGGACATTTGGAGAAAACTAGTTTTAATTATTTTTGGGGAAAAGTTTATATTAGTAGTTTTTTTTCTTTAGTAATTTAACAAGCCATAAAAAGTCATTTTAATTAGCCCCATTATTATTTATTTTCACATTTTAACCCCAAAAAAATTATTGCAGGACGACCTTGAACTTTTCTCCAGGGGAGCCATTGTACCTAAGGACAAAGTCAATGTGAAGGTCACACGAAGAGTGACCACCAGCAGAAGGAGAATGGTGAGACACTGCTAGCCCTGACGGCAATCTAGCGGCATCTCGTGTCGTTACTGCACTTAGTACTCGGTACTTCCATGATGGGTCCAGTGGCTATTGCCCGAACCCTGAGAGGCAGCTCTAGGGATGACGAGCCCCCCAGACTTAATGCGAGTGTGGGACCCCATCCCAGAGGATGCCATTGTATTGAATCCAAACAACATTTAATCTCAAAGACAGAAGCTAAAGCAAGTTGGATGTATCGTAAATCGGAACAAATTTTCATATGAAATATCTGCAACAATGGCCATTGTTTCCTGAGCGCATACAATCTTATCAAAACACTTAAAAACACAATAAAAATTGGACAGTTAGACAGCACAACCCGGTGGTGTGAGAAAATAAAAAGAACTGTATGTAATAAGAAATTATTTCATTTCTAAAATTCTGATGAGGCTATTATGAACTTCTCCCCCCCCCCCCATATGACGTCATCAGTTTGTTAATGTTGTTGACCCTTATCCTGACGTTGCGAGCCAGAGGCGTGTATGACAACACAACCCGGTGGTGTGAGAAAATAAAAAGAACTGTATGTAATAAGAAATTATTTCATTTCTAAAATTCTGATGAGGCTATTATGAACTTCTCCCCCCCCCCCCCATATGACGTCATCAGTTTGGTAATGTTGTTGAACCTTATCCTGACGTTGCGAGACAGAGGCGTGTATGACAAGATTTGGTCAATGGTAGCATGAGACCAACGTCAGATGTATCATACATGGTGACTACGGTGTCTAGTACACACGCCGTGTGGAAATTCGCTCATGGTTCTTTTGCAATCGGCCACTAACATCAATTGTGACATCTGATCTGACAAGACAAGGGGGACGGGACGTTCGCCTTCCAACACGTATTGAAAATAAGAAGAACGTTGTCAAATGTGAGATCAGATCGTATTGAAATTTTGTCTTTTAATAAGAAGTTTTCTTTCTCCATTTTTATTTTTAAAAAACAACAACATATTTTTATCATGTACATTTAATAAATTTAAATAACTTGTATTCAACACAAAAATTCAATACACGAATCTTTCAACTATGAAATATTTATATTTTTGCTAGAATAAGAATAGCCAATATAAATACCCAAATTAGTCAAAAAAAAAAAAAATTCTTCTCACAAAGCTGGTCTGGCTGATCTGACAGCAAGAAATTCCTAAAACACATCATTTTTTACATCTAAAAATATACACGAACTTTCACGCGCACAATTTATGAATTCAGTCGATTTAATAATACTTATGCCTTTTGTGTTCGTATCGCTAGCTTAATTAAGTGATGAAAACATTTTAGCTGGCAGTAGACGTACATTTTTATTATTATAATATTATTATTTTTATATTATTATTATTGCTATTATTTTTTATATTATTATTGTTATTGCTATTATTATTATTTAAAAAAAAATTATATATCAATTATTTTGTATCTAGACTTATGTTTTGACATTTAAATTGCAGTGTACTAGTCTTAGACATTATTTTAAAAATAAATATAACTTGATATACATACTATTACCATTCGATCGAAATTATATTTAATAGTTGAAATACAACAAAAAATAAATAAATAATATTTTTTTCTGTTTATCAAACACAATGTCTCAATTGTGATGTTATGGTAATCTTATTGTGATCTTATTGTAATGTCATTGTGTTGTTATGTTTTTTTATTGTGGTCTTAGAGTTATGTTATAGTGATGCTATAGTGATGTTATAGTGATTTTATAGTAATGTTACTATGATGTTCGTGATTTATTTTCTCCAAGGTGACGCTGCTGAGCTGAGGAAGTAGAGAATCCAAATCGGATTTATTAATCATGTCGTAGTTTAAAAAAAATACGAATAAGAAAACCCATGGGCGTGGGGGTGGTTAGGGGGAGGGCTGAGGGGGGGGGGGCGATCAGCCCCGGGCGGACATTTTTTCCTTTATTTCGAGGGACGGCTCTTTCGGCCAACTGCCGTGCTTTTTTCGTGGAAGTGGGGGTGGCAGAAGTCTCATCCCGCCCCGGGCGGAAATAACCCTAGCTACGCCACTGGGTAAGCCTCCATCCTCTAAAGCAAGCTAAAACACCAAGAAGAAATGTCCCGCCTCAGAATCAAACTTATTATTTATCGATCATAGCAAAATGTGTGCAGTACAATTTGTGAGAAAATTTTGTTTTTAAACGTCAAAGAGACAAAAGTACAAGAAAGAGCCGCATGATATGATTGTTTACTAAAAAGACGAGCAATAATGATGATTGACGTCAGTTAAAGGTCTGCACGAGGCTTGTCTAACTCATTCCTTCTGTTTAGGTCAGCGCTTCTCAACCTGTGGGTCGCGACCCCTTTGGGGATGGCACGACCCTTTCCCAGGGGTTGCCTAAGACCATCAGAAAACACATATAATCTACAGTTATGACGTAGCAACGAACATAATTTTTAGTCGGGGGGTCGCCGCAACAATGGGAACTGTATTAAAGGGTCGCGGCATTAGGAAGGTTGAGAACCACTGGTTTAGGTCAAATCGTTTCTTGCATAGTAATAGATATTTTACCTTTAGTCCACTGTGCGCCAACACAAAGCAATGTGGAAATCTTTGACTGGAATTGCATAGATAAGTATTTTACTTGAACGGAAAGCTTGTAGCGTGGCCCCGTGCAGGGATTCTCAATCTGGGATCCATGGATAAATTTTATGAGAAGATGAACTTTGATACTTGTAAGAACAATCTTCATCTCCTTCTTAATTTGAACTCCAGAAATCTGAGTTATATTTCGGTCTACAAACTTCACATGACTCCTGACGAGATGAAAGTCCGAAACAAATGTAAGCCATATGCTGTAAAAGGAAGGTATATGCTGTAAAAGGAAGGTAAATGACGTAATAGGAAGGCATATGATGTAAGAGGAAGGTATATGCTGTGAAAGGAAGGCATAGGGCATAATAGGAAGGCATATGACGTGAAAGGAAGTCATATGACTTGAAATGAAGTCATATGATGTTTAAGAAAGTCTTATGCAGTAAAAGAAAGTCATATGCTGTAAAAGGAAGTCATATACTGTAAAAGGAAGTCATATACTGTAAATGAAAGGCATATGATGTAATAGGAAGTCGGCACAGATTCGTTGTCGGCTAAAAATATGTTATTCATTAGTATTTACAAGGATACCTTAAATAATTCCTAGACTTTTCTTTAGTGTCAACAAATTATACCTTTTTTAAAAAAAAACAAACTGTGTCGTCCTTATAACAAAAAGTATGGGAATGTGTGTGTGTGTGTGTGGGGGGGGGCCTCATTGTTAGTGCTCGTCTGCTGCAAGTTTTAAAATCAGAATGATCTCTAAATCTGAATCTATGACCAAAAACCAGGGTACCTAATAAGGTAAAATGTATGTCAGTGTGCATAAAAACATAGCAAATAAAGAAGTTATGAATAAAAAATAATAATTTCTAGGTATTTAATGTTCTCATGGCTGTAACACTGTGGTCGATCGGCTCACAAAATTAAATTCCCAGAAGTTAGCACTGATTGGTGCGTTTTTATAAAGCGCGATTCTTGAATGCATGTTTTGTCCATTAACTTTAGATGGGGAGTTCCCCCTTATGTGGCCGCCATTGTGGGGAGGGGTGTGGGGGGGGGGTGGAGGCTATTTATAGTATGTAAATTAAAATACAAATATTAGGGAAATAATTTAGGAAAACTAAATGGAATTAGTTTCGAGCACATCCCTGACATCACATGACATTATAACTACGATTCTGTTACTAATGATTTAAAACAACTCTTAACTTATAGTTTTATGTCAAAAGGGAGTACCCGAAATCAGCCACTAAGACGTATGCGTATTTGTTAGTTCACACAGTAAAGCAGCAGTCGAACTCGTGTTAGAACAAGGCATACTGTAAGGTGCATTAGTCTTTTTTTTTTAAAAAAAAGAACAAATTCCATCTATAAGTGGAGCCAAATGGGGAAGTGCTTTTTTTTTTTTTAAAGTGAGAAATTCCCACCATCAGATGTGATAATTTGTCATTTTTTGTTAGTAATCTCCACCATAGCCAGGAGCGTATCTGTCTTTTTAATCCTGACGACTCCAGAATACCAAATTCGAATGATCATTGCAGTATTAGCCCTTACAGTCACATGGCACTCATGCCATACCTGTATACCGATACCTGTGCTCACGTATACACAGGTGCGAGGACTGGAGGCACCCGATGGAAGCCAAGGAAACTACAGGAGCACTTTTAGGTGAAGTTTTACGGTGAAAATATTGAGTGCAAGTTCATTTTTTCTAACATCAGTTCCCGTATTCTCCCACTTTAAACTGTCTGTGTTACGTAAGAGAAAAATGTAGGTTCTGCAGGCTTACTTCAAAAAATAAAAAAAATGAGTTAATTTTTTATTATGTTCTTGTTTCGTTTTTTAAGTCCTACTTTTTTTTGGGTTCTTTTTTAACCGAGGATTGACTCAGAATAGTACAGCATCAGTAGACAAAAAGTGCTCTACTAGAATTCAGCGATGATTGTCTTTCAATGCTTAGAGATGAATTTTTTCAAATGATATTTTTTCTTCAATTTTTTTTGTTTTTCGAAGAGAAAGAAATGTTGCCGTTGAAATGATTTCTAAAAATCAAATATATAGATCCTTAAATATTCTTGATTTTGTGTGATTGATATAGTCAACCAGCAAGTCGATTCTTGATTTTTAGTAGTACATGAGGCACATGAAGGTAGGTGTGAATATTGGGGAGGGGGGAGAGTAAGGGGGTTGGGAGAGATAGGGTGGATATGATCTTGGGGAGTATTTGCAGCATGATGTTGAGAGGAAGAAAAAAAAACAACAGTATCTACATTGGAGATAGAACCAAACTAAACCGTGTTAGACTATGGGGAAAATCATCTTTAAACAACATCAAAATAAACCGTGTTAGACTATGGGGAAAATCATCTTTAAACAACAACAAACTAAACCTTGTTAGACTATGGGGAAAATCATCTTTAAACAACATCAAAATAAACCTTGTTAGACTATGGGGAAAATCATCTTTAAACAACATCAAAGTAAACCTTATTAGACTATGAAAATCATCTTTAAACAACAACAAACTAAACCTTATTAGACTATGGGGAAAATCATCTTTAAACAACATCAAAATAAACCTTGTAAGACTATGGGGAAAATCATCTTTAATCAACAATAGTAAAAAGAAAAAAAACAGAGTTATCATTTATTTTCAAATAGTCTGTAACAAAAATAATTCTGGACCACGCATTAAATACCCGGAACGTTATTCTGTTTGAGAGTTTACCCTTTGCTTACAGCACACACCGCTGGTCGTTGAACCAAATCGAATCATTAGTCAAACACTAGCAACGCCGTGCTGGTCCTGCTGCTCATACCTACAAGTCAAAGTACGTTAACATCCCAAAAATAACTAAACTATAAGATTGTCTGTTTCTTCTTTTGAGAAGATTTTTGATTTTTTGTTGTTGTCGCTTTTTTGTGAGTTAAATTCATTGAAGTTCAAAACTTCTTTATAAATGAACCAAGGATGCCATGTTTCCAAACACATTATTCCATAGTTATCACAGTTTTACAATCGCGTCACCTTCATTTGAAAACAAAATATTGCGAGAAATTCAAAGTTCTTGCTGAGGAAGCGTTTGACCTCGGAGTCACTGCACAATTTCGTTGTAAATAACACAAAAGGCGAAGTGGTTCAATTAGTAACTGATATTTTATTATTCACATTCACAACAAGAAATGCATTTCACAAAAATCCGGAATTGGAGATTATATCCCATGAATTTAATTTACTAACTTCTGGATAACATATCTTCTTAGCTTCTTCATTACAACATCGACGTTCTCTCTGCTCAATCCTCTCAAAACAAACCTGCACCATTCCATTCCCATTTCTGATTGCCCAGTTTCTCTACAAGTCCCAAAACTCTGTGTATTATGATATAAGAAATATCTACCATATTACTTATCCCCCATTATTATTCATATTCACATCTGTGACACTTGGCCAGTGGTCGGCTAGCCGCGGCTCGACCTGATTGCGGCTCGGTCAGCCGGCCACAAATCAGTTTAGACTCCGAGAAACATG